CGAAATGAAGGTCCCCCTAACACGGTCCACTTCAGCCTGGATGAGAATGTTTCGGGAAGTAAGGCCATGTATAAGGCAATAGAAACATGAGGCCTAGTCACATCATTGTGGGAAAATTCAACTTCATCACTTTAAACGAAGTCGGATGAGTACAACTCATTTATGGTCTAATGTTGGTCTTGAAAACCTTTATATAAATTAAAAGAAATAATATTAACCAACACATTAGATGTTATCTTGTGAAAACAAATAGCAATTTTATTTCCTCTTCCGTCCTAATGGAGCTTCCATCTTTACAGGACGCACGAGTCCCCAAAATCCACACGATCTCCAAAACCATTCTTGCAAATTTGGGATTTTTTATGCCTTATGGGATTTTATAGACAGTGCCCGAGAGGAGACTCGCGATGATCTGGAGAGCTGGCTCGGTTTCGGCATTGAATATGATTGAGCATGTTGGACGACAGTTACGTCTCCTCTACGGTTTTCTCAACAGCTTCAGCGGTTGCCAAGCCATGGATGTGCTTGTCCAGGGGGTGAAGGTGTGAATCCCGCACCACACGACCCTGGCGCCATTGAACCGCGCGACATGTTCTACCTTCAATACAAAGTAGGCCCTTCCAGTTACCCGAAAAGGCACTTACGTGTCGAGAGGTGAGCGTGTCTCTCAACAAAATGCCACAGTGCGAATATGACCATATCGGCCAGCAGATTCTGTCTGAAACTAGCATTTCTGCTTGCATGGTCCGTCTTGTCCACGGAAACTGTTTATCTGTTCTGGCAAAAGTAAAACACTAACTGGGCCTATTGCTGTAAACTTAAAATGCTGCCAAATGCACGACCGTGCAAGCACTGGCACACAAATATAAACACATTTTGGCATTCATTTTCACGCCGTCCCACCGCGGCAGTATGCGGCAGTACACGATGCTATCTGTCCGGTCGGAAGCCTGGGCAACAAAGTAGCAAATACGCTTTGGCTGTTCTTTACTTCCCGGCAATGTGCTTTCGCCTGCTCTAAGTCATGGTACTGTTGTACCCATGTGTGAATCAAGGCTTGACGTTCAAAGCCCGATTTCTTATGGGCAGATGTGCTGAACGTAAGGTCTCGGCGTGACAGCCGAGTTGAGTGCAAAGACAAGCAAGTGGAAGTTCTAAAAGTAGGATGAGAAATTAGAAAACTGTATATTTAATATATCTCTGGACATCTACGTTGGCTATGAAGGTGTACGCTTGGGAAAGAATGTCTACTTTAAACCCACACATTCGGGTAGTTGGGCGCATGATAATTTAAAGTACACCCCATAGTAATAAACACATCATAATGGAAGACAATCGGTTGAGGCAAGTCTGAAAGATTGATGACTCTGTCTGTCCTGAAATATCCATTTTTCTGCTTTTAAAAATCTGATGGGAAGCTGTTTGTAAGTAAATCCCCAAATGAGCATGAAGGAGGTTCACTGGTCGGTCTAACTAGACTAATATGGAGAGAAGACGATAGCACGCTACACAGAAATTTGGAGAAACCTTGAATGTACATTGTTGACGGGGAATCGCAATTCCCATAACAGACATCATAAGAGCCGATATGATACAGAACCATTTGCCAGTTTGTAGTTTACTACATTGATGCGAGCCTGTTGAGACGGTTTGTACTTCTTGTGAAGAGGTGATCAAGATATGCGTAGGCCAATCTCACCAAAAGACGACGGTGGGTATTCAAACTTAGCCAGACCGCCAGCACAGCAGATCACCATAGGAACCGAGGGAGAATCTCGAGGATTGAATCAGGCTGAATGCCTTGGGAAGAGCAACCACCTGACAAGCAGAAATCTGGAGTCGTCTTCTGGTGAGATTCACCAGAATAACTTATCACAAACCTTAGTATGAAATAAAAAACGGGTTAACAATGACATATAGAGGACACTACTCTGAAACCATGTAATCTGCGCGTGTAATACTTTTGAAGAGGTTTAATCTTACATGTTCTTTTGAGCGGAAAATCAAGTCACTAACAACTTACTTTTTTATTCGAAGATATGAAGACCAACATGGTGTGGCCTTTTGTGTGGTCGCAGTCTCCTATCGTTGTATAGAACTTGTTTCGCAACTTGGTCATATTGGTAGGAAGACTTAGAGGAAAGAACCAAGTCCGGAGTTCATAGTATGCATGATAATTTCCAGAGTCGGACCGTAGACGTAGTACATTCCCAAACATTTTACCGGCATCTTCAATAAGTTTTGCCATTCTGAGCACCAAACTCCAACTAGTCAAAAAGATAAGTGAAGCCCATCCTTTGACCAAATGTCTACTAAACAGTTGGGGTATCTCTCTTTCTGTCCTGGGCCATTCGGTTATCCTAGACCCTCGTATCACAATTTTACTTGCTTATTTTGATGTGGTATGGTGTGCCCTTTTTGGCGGCTTTCATGAGAACTCTCCACGCCCCACTTTGAATGGTGATCAGAATCTGTCATATTGTTACGCAGTCCTCCTTCCCTGGGTCATATCAGCCTCCCTCTTGTCCTGTAGGATCCGTCTGCTCTCTCCCTGGTTCAAGTATTTCACTCGACCCCTGCCACCTCATCTGCGCTCCACGAGGCGTTATTTCCCACACTCTTCGTCTGCTAGACTAAATTGACCCTAAATACCCCGAGTAATTCTCATGGTCGACCCTTTGCTTCATGAGTCAGGTCTATGGCAAAACATGCCTACTATGAGCCAACTAACTCTGGCCTTCGCTGCCTCTATACTTTTTCTATATCTAATACCAGGTCTATCACCTCCTATGCCCTAGCCTCTTGTGTACCAACCCACAAATATTGTGGCACTGCTTGCTTTGGTTAGGTTCAATGTAAGGGAAACAATTGCGATAGTGAAGGCGTGATACGAGGATATAGGAAAGGTGAGTAGCTCAGGACAGGAGAGATACCACAACTGTTCAGCACACATTTGGTCAAAGGATCGGCTTCATTTGTCTCTTTGACGAGTTGTAACGTTTGAGGATGTACCACATCCACGATCCCACTGAAAATTATCATGCATACAATGGACTCCAGACTAGGTGCGTTCCTCTAAGCCTTACTACCGATACGACCGAATTGCGAAGACAAGGTCAAACAACATTATTTTTTATTCGGTAGAGAGTTACTGCTACGAGCGACGCTAAAATCCAAAATAGTACCACCTTTTTGCGGACGATCGACGCCCTTCCCAGCCATCAAGAAGTCCCAAACTAGTCTTGCCCATCATTATGCCAGTATTGCACCATGTGATTGCGATGGACTCTGATTGCCTCAAAAACCGCGTCCAACACCTCGACACGCATTAACAAGTTAATTTTCACATGGCTGACAATGCGACAATAGTGCACAAAATAAACGCGATTTTACCTTAAAAAATTTGGCAAGTTAAAGCATGTGAATAGAAATTTTAATCATCTTAAGTCGAATGGCTGATAGAACAATTTTTTCGTAAGGAAATTACCATGCTTAGCTACACTGTTGAATTACACATCGCCTCAACCCTCAAAATCTTCTAGAATTCAAGATGGACCGCAAGTTCGACCTAGCCTAGGGCTCACCAGAACCCCAAAGGAATTCGGACCAGGCTGTGTAGGCAGTGGCCATACGTTAATATCCCATGAGATGGCAACGTTTGCCAG